AAGAAAACAGTGATAGTATATGACGTCATACAAATGTCCTATTTGTGAATTATTATACATCTAAATTTCATAGTTTGATAAAAGCTAAATGTCTAAATAATTTTTTATTTACTCACGCGAAACCACGAATAACTTCATATACATATGTATAAATAACATGTCAAAGGACATAAATATGTTATTTTGTAACTAATCCACAGTCTGTCTGGCCTATGTAATCATATTGTTCGAAGTTTACGCGCAGTCGGCATTGACTTGAACATTCATGATACATTAGAATGAGCATTTTAGCGCAAAAATTACATTATTGGGCGCGAAAGGTAATCAATAAAACACCTAGGCTATTTGCAGTGTTATTCGGTGTCTATTTTACTATCATGGTGATAGGAAAGAAGGTCGTAAATTTATCAATTGCTTTCACTTACGTTAATATTGGACAAATTTAAACACTTGAAGGAGGCCAGTCATATGACGGAAGCGGTCTCACAGTCTAAACTTATGACAAAAAGCTTTTAGGCTTGTATGCTAACTTAATGAAAATATAACGCCTGTCTGTAACATTTTAGAGCACAATAAAGTACTTGATTGGATTTTTTTACAGTTTATGTCCATAGCTGTAAAATCATATGTATCATTAAATTGAGTTATGTATCAATTTAATGCATGTAAAGATTTCCGTCACTAAGCACTTTAAACAAGAAAGAAGTCTGAATAAACTATTTTTGAATGAAGTCAAGGTCGAGTCTTTTCTTACATAACATAGCAGATATACACAAATAGCCAAATATGACCACCTGTAATATAAGCCAGGCAACATTATATTAAAAACCACTCTGCAAACAATTAATAAATAAGTAAAATAGATATACAAAGCCGCTTCCTTTCGATGCCAAGCTTTCAAAGCATATATACGCATGAGTTTGTGGTTTCAATGGGATAAAAATGTGTAAAATCGAAATTTCAATAAATTGCCAAATTATTTAATTATTATTTTATCACGAGAACAAATTTAGTCTTAAATTATTTTAGAACATGCAAACATTTTGTCAAAGGCATACATTTTAAGTCTTTTTTTTAAGATTAATTAGCAAGAGCAAGCGCGCGTTTCAAAATATCGCAAAAAAGCGCCTTTTTGTACAGACACTATCTTGACATTATGATCTTATAAAGGTTTCGAGTTGCTTCAGATTTATGTGTCGCAATTTGTTGTCTTAACATTAAATAATGTATTTAAATAAAAAAAAACGCGAGTGATTAATGGGTATCTAATTTATGATAAAACCAATATGTTTTATAAAATCAAAGTCTCCATTAAACACCATTAGACCGTTCCCATGAATATGTTAATGAAGAAGATGGTGATAACAGACGAAAAGAAAATCGGTCTTGTTGAATCATAAAAGTAATATTACCAAACAGTGTAACTAGTCAAAATAAAACAATGTAATGTTCAACGATCGTTAAGTCATTGATACCTCTTTAATTGAAAAAAAGCTGAACAATAGCTTTCTTTACAAATAAAACTCGTACGAAAAAAAACTCTACTCGTATATTCAGTTGTTTCCTGTTACCGTTCTCAGACGGACTTCGTAAAAACGAGGTCAGCAAGTAAAGTAGCATTCAATGTACGCATCCCCAAATACAGGATCGAGCTCAGCAGGACACCAAAAAGGACAAGGCACTCGGTTTAACACGAATGGGATGTTATTATAAATTATTCAAAAATTAGGAAATCATAGAAACCTGCAAGGTAATTAAAAAACAAAATATATTAAAAGTTCAATGAAATTGCCAAGATCAACTGAATGTTAAAATAGTAACAAAATTGTCAGCTTCCCAGATAGTATAAGATGTGCTAAGTCGCCCACAATGAAACAATCTTTAAAGTACAACATAGAAAAATACGTATAAAAATATATACTATTGATATCACTTATTATAGTCATACAACATTTAGAAAATGAGCTCTCAAAACAGTTTTTAATCATAAATAAATAGCTATTTAGAAATACTTAAAGTCGCAAACTCGCAAGTCGTGGTCATATATGACAACATTTGGGCATTAAGAAACAAGAATTTTATATTCAGTACACTTTCGAAATAGCGATGGCGTTAAAAGTTGAAAAATGAGCAAGTAGAAAAGATAGCCATTACGTGCTTATCACGTGAAATTGAATACTGCTTGAGCCGGTGATAGGGGGACTAATAGATGTTACACTTTCTATTATCTATAATGAACAGAGCAAGACAGCTGAGTAAGAAATTTTATCTATCTTTAATCTTTCATATATAAATCTGATCTTTTCGGAATTTTCCTTTACAAACATTGTTTCATGTGCAAATTAGTCTTCAGCAAGTACAGTTCATTTATATAATAAGCTCAACGTAAATTGTTTTAACGTTGGCAAATATATATTTATGAATACAATTACATATGATTATTAAATTATTAAACACATTTATATATTTTTTCAAACCTGAATATAATGTTTTACATGTTCTTACTAAGTTTCTATTCAATTTCATTTATAGGCAAATCGATATTTCAAACCTTTTACTATTCATAAGAAATGTTGGATTTAAGATCACTGTGTATTGGGTGAAATACGACATAGTAATATTCGATCACAATAATAATTTAACTACTCACATTTTACATTTTCTATCGAACTTTTTTTAAAATTATATCTAACCTTTCTTACTTAAAGAACATTAGATAAAAAAAATATTTTAGTAAACGATTTTCATTTTTTCATCATTTAAAACAGCAGTAAGTTTGAGTTTGTTTTTTGTTGTTTTTTTTTGTTTTTTTTTTTTCAAATAAATCTACATTTGATCATCACAACACTTTTATCTAAATATTATGCTAAAATTATTTATATTTATTTGCATCCAATTCTGTAATAATTTTCTTTCAAAATTAATGTTCAATTTGACATAGGTCAAAACTAAAAACTTGAGTGCAAAATCTCAGGTCCTATATTATTTTTCCAGAACAATTATTGCGATTGTGAAAAATGTCCTAAAATTGAAAAGCGTTGAAATCAGGATAAGAAAAGCACAAAAGTACGATTTTCAATTTATTTCTGAGTTTATTTCTTTTATTTTTTATCTTTTGCATATATTTTTTTTATTTTTAATATTCTATATAAGTATTTCAAATTTTATGTTTTAGGCTCTTGGACCTCAGTGGTATTCCATTAATTAATGTATTAACTAATTTTATTGTTTTTATTTTGTGCATGCATAAAGACAACAGTCGTTTCCAGGCTCCGTCGTACGTATGAACATACATACACAAAATACAAATCAAAATAAGCTGACGTTTTAAATTCAAATTATGTCCATTCTTAAAAGTAGCTTTATTGGTGCTATAAGTTATTAATAACCTTTTTAGTTTACAGTTTTCACTCTAGAAATCTTGCATCCGTTTTATGTGCGTTAAATAACCTCTAAGACTCTCATACGTTCATTCTACAGCGAACATTTATATGAATTTGTTAAAACACAATTCTGGAATACATGCATTGATAATTTCTTTATGTCATTTATGTCATGTCCATAACAAAATGAACACTGAATGAAAAGATTATTTGTACGTAGAACATTATTTTATTCCAGGGAAACCGAACATGTTTTATCTTGTGAAGGGATCGGTGACATTGTATTACTTATCCGATGCTTTATTTTATATAAAATAAAAAAAAGTGAAAGACGTTTGCTATATTTAAGTATAATGGTACAAGAAGATAATAAAATGCCCATACACATTTCATAAACTGTGGTCAATCATTTATTGGGTTATGCTTCTGTGACGATTTTAGTTAAGAAGACGACGGTTCTTCATTTTTTCCATGTACCTGCTTAGCTCTGTTTGCAAAACAATACATAATAAGAAATACTTTTGTTTCAATTTTTATATTTGCAATTATTTGCCTTATATGTCTTTAAATTTGTAATATGAAATACTTGAATTAAAAAGATTAAATACCGCTAAACACGACTGTTTCAACTTTTTGTCATAACGTCAATTCTTTTTAACTACTTGTCTGTGTTCTTTACTCGCCAAAAAACCGTTATTTCATTTGTCTTACAACATTGCCTAAGTTAAATCGTCCTTTTTTAATTTTTAAGTTGGAAGTACAACCATTTGCTCATTAAGATATATCTGCAATATATGCATATGTTAAAAGTAAATTACGTTATTTTAGATAAAAACCAACAATTGAAATGTTTTGTTCATTAGAAAATCTGACGTATATAACTAAATGACTACTTGTATAATTTTTTGTAAATCACGTTATTAAAGAATTTCATGATCCCTTCCTTCTCTCCCTTTGACTTTCTCTAAATTTAAATTCTAAAGATAATTTAAAAGACACTATTTGTTTAAGAAAAAGTAAAGCCGAAGCGTTTTAAATTGAAGCAAAATTAAAACTACTTCATGATATCATTTATGTCGTCTAGTCTACGGGTAATATTTTTTCTCTTTCAGGTGACAGACTTATTATAATATGATGTTAAACACGTGGCATTATTTTGAAGATAATATAATACAAAATATTCAATACAAGTACAAACTTAATGTTCTTGTTATATTTATAATATTCTTGAAACTCATTAACCTAAGCACAATTTTATTTCAAACAAAAGGTATCCATTAAATTAAAAATCACAATATTTGATTTTATCAAATTTTCATTTGGTACTTTCGAAGAATTTGCGTTATGATCAGACATCATTATGTTTGGTACTTTTTAGTCATCAATTTACAAATATTTACTAAACGAGCTTATATATAATTCAGTACCTTTAAAATAATGTTATCAAAGTCTATGCATCATATTTGGATTCCGTAAAAGTTTGTTTTGTATGGTACTTGGACAGCTATATGTTATTATATTTTTTTCTCAGTACGTAAAATTTGCCCAATAATCTAACTGCAACGAAAAAAAGAATTATCATACACAATGTTACAACATCAATCATATAAAACTCACCCAATTGTTAAAAACTTTTTCTGGCGGTTGATTTTGTTTTTGTAGTGGTACAACGTCTTGTTAAAGATTTTTATCCAATGGCTGGAGACTCCTGTGAATTTTTAGATTAAGAAGCAATATGATTATTAAATAATTAGTCAATGCGCTCTTTCTCTTGTTCGCCCATTTTAATCCCGATGCGATAGTTTAAAGTATCAAATGAAATGGCCGATAAAAGTGGATGGTATATGATTATCTAAGAGCAGGGATAGACGTGTTTTCCAATAACTTGTGACCGCCAGTTTGTCCACGATTTACTTACAATCTTCAGAGACTAGTATATTATTACATTATTTGTACTGTTTGATATGAAAAATTCAAGATAATATATTCAAAATATTTCTATTCATATCCATTTTGTAACATAAAACTATTTATTTCTCAAAAGCTGTTTTACGTTTTGGTGTCTTGTTAAAGTTTCCACAACGATACTCATTGGTCAATTATGTGAACCATCTTTTGCATCTGTTCTTTTCTAGCAATTACAATGTAGTACAATTATGGTGATTTAGTATTTTGTATTGAAATCAAAATACTACTTGATTTACAATTTACTTCTATTACGACAAAAGAATGCACGTCCAGTCCTACTTTCTTCAAGTAATGCGTATTTAACATGCCCTGAAACCATTATTTATTGATAAATGATTTAAAACTCATGTTTGCGTTTTATAATGAAGAACAAATTTATACATTTTCTGAGACATAATGTGCTTTTAAAAGAATCACATTCAGGAGTTTTATTTCATTATGATTTCTTGCACTATAAAAGGTTCACAGTATACTTTATCCTACATGGTAATTGTTCAATATGTAGTTTTGTTTGATAGTGTAAATCCTGAATCAAGTCTAGTGATAAAAAGTTCATTCGTTTAATGATATGACTAGTATCATCCATGATTTGATTTGCTTTAATTTGATATATCTTAAATATTTTCTTAAGATCAAACTTTCCATGCTAGAAATGCTGTACATCTATTCGATGAAGACTTTACCTAAACGGCGAACGTACGACCATCGATTAAACAGACTTAAAGGAACTCCACAGATGTTTAAAAGCCTTAAAACATAAAATATGAATTGTGTACAGGGTGATAAGCATTACATAATCAAATTACTCATTAAGTTTGATATATAAATATAATTAAATACATGTAAGTATATGTGTGTATATTTGCATATAATAACAATCGTAAGTTTGAACCGCACTAGAGATTCATTTTCGACTACCACAAGTAACACTGGCGGAATGACTGGTTATAACACGTAGGAAACAGTCACGTGACATTCCTTACAAGCGTATGACTTGTTTCCCGACAACGAACGAAATTTGACATTAATTGAAATAATTTGCGAAACACAAACAAAAGATTAATAAAATTGCATGTTGTTGATTTTACTTCTTTTTTCCCCTTTTCTTGTTATGTGTTTTTGTGAATTTTTTAGCATTACTCACTATTGTTTAAATGCTTTTCGTTAAAAACTAAAAATAATAATAAGCAATCGAACATGATTTACATATTTGCAACTATTATGAGACATTCATTTAATACATTATTCATTATTTAGTACAATAGTATTGACACACGAGTGTCGTGCATTCATGTGTGTTTGAGCAAGTAATGCATTTTACACATCAAATCCGCTACAAAGTAAAAGCATTGGGTGTTGTGAAATGACACAATGATAAAAAATGAGTCAAAGAACGCCGAACATTTAGAAACAGAACTATGTATGTAAATTAGAGTCAATATCATCATCAAAGATCGATGCAAAACCATTACATTTGTTGGATACAATGCTTGCACGCTTGTAGTGGTTTAAAGACAAAAGGCAAAAAAATATGTTTATAAATGACTTTAACGTAAACATTTGAAATACTTTAATAAAATAAATACATAAATGAACTGAATGAAATTTCAATTCAATGCATATCAATTTGTATTTTAAATGCAAACTTGCGCAATGACAAATCCATTCGCTTTGTTAATGGGAGTCAATGTTTCACATAACAGAATGAGTCATTTTCGAGAAGGTTTGCCGCCGAGCAAAACTCAAGTTTGTTTTCCGTGGCTATAAATATATTATATTAATCCTACACAAAATTAAACGCTCACACCACATTGTCACTTTGACATCGTGCCATCACCGGTATCACATGGTGAAAATGTGCTTAATTTTGTTACTGTATTTTTCAATTAGTATACATAGAAAATTATATTTGCAGTAACTCACTTTTTTGTTAGTATTTAATCTCATAATGGTGTGATAAGATATTTGATCAATATCTCAAAATTATTTTCGTTCATCTCAAAATTATTTTTGTTCATCTCAAAATTATTTTCGTTCAAGTCGCTTTACATCTATACGTATACCACTTTATAGAACAGGTTATAATGTTTGCTAATGTAAAATCAAATACTATTGCCACTTTACAGACTGGTTTTATGGATTATTTTATTCCTTCTACATTGTGCATATTTCTGTAGATAATTAAATAACTTATAAGTAACAAATTATGAAATTAAAGCTCAAACCCATCTGGTAACTGTTTTCATTTTTTTAATATTCCTGATGTACGACCAGTCACCAAATTTGATTGATTTTACAACGTCAACAGGGATGAGACACATTGTAAAAAATAGCCTATTCATTATCGATTCATATCGCATTTCATGTTAAAAGCAGGTATATTTATCAATATATATCATTTGACAGTGACCATAGAATGAAATGTTAAATTGTAATACAAACTCATGCCTCATTAACTAATAGTGCTTGTATTTGTTAAGTCAATATTTCTTTATAGAACTGTGTATAATACCTTTCATTTTTCCTTTCCAGAATTTGATATGAGGCGTCATTTGGATGGTTATCGACACAGTAAACCCTCTATGTTATAGATTTAATCATTTTATGGAATTAATTTCCATCTCATGAAAATTAAGATAACGACTTAACAATGTATCTGACATGCAAGCAAATTGTTCGGATTTTTTTGTCGTTGTTGTTTATTTGAAACCACGTTTAAGGCCCGCTTATTTCAAATTAGACATTTTATAGAGTTAAGAGGTTCATGCATTTATATAAATACAGGAAAAGGGGGCAAAAAGGGTAAAAAATAACTGCTAAAGTAGCCTTACTCTCTGCTTGTATTTTGTTACATATCATACAATTCGATTAGATTTATCCAGTCGTTTTCAGTCTTCTAATGTATCATTTTGTAAGGCAACAAATCTTTCAATTTTTAATCTGTTTAAAAATTTCGTTTTAAAGATACTAATATCTGGAGATTGTTTCTTTAATTTACTGATATAAATTATTTATTATGCCCTGTAGAAGCAATAAAAACAATTTTATCAACTTTTGATATCATTTATTTAATTATACACTTTCATCTATTTAAATATTTACTTTGCTCATCTTTGAGTAAAATATTCTAATCAAAGAACTTTTTTGAAAATCTATTAAAATTCTTACTGAATATGTCTTATTTGAATAAAAGAATGAGTAAACTATGTATGGGAAGCTGCGTTCTCTATTACAAGACAAGTAAAGTTGGTCATTTTTTTCAAAATGTTGACCGTTTATTTCATTTATTATTATTTTTTTCTGCTTTTAATGACACTTTATATAATTCATATTGTGACCACCTATAGTGTGTAGAATTCTAAACATAACATATTTACTTTGATTGAACTCAAAACATGTTTATTTTATATTTACAAATAAACTGTGTATCAATTATCAATATTTTCTAATATCAAATTTGAGCATATCTTTAATTCGGTAAATAAATTTTTATTTAATGACTAACAGTTTTCATAATTCAACACATGTACCGCTCCTGATGCGCAATTGTTTTCTTCGTTTGTTTCTTTTTCTTTTTATTATCATTTTGCTTTATTTCGTTTTGTTAAAATGTTTGTTATCAGTGTCTTCATAATTTTTTCATTTTTTTTCAATTTTTAAAATTATCATAAAACAAACCAAGTTGTTTCACCTGACATTTTTTAAACCGAAAACAACATATAGTGATATTTGTGACGGTGAAACAACAATTTAACATTGATGCATCATTATCGCCATTTGTGAGTAAACATTAATTCAAAATGACGCAATGGTTAAGTTCATAGAAAATCATACAGAATCTACAGACAAGATAGTTAGATGTCGTCGGAAGTTCTGCCAATTAGTGGATATTCTAACGAAGACAGAGCTCGAGAAAGGCTTCCTAAGACCCCTGCTGGCACAAAGAAGAACGACAAAACATCTGAATCCAAGCTCATTAGTTAATTTACACGTTCAAACAGAAGAATCCCTATTGCTTGAATAGGAATAATTAAATAGGAACGACCTATGTTATAGGATTGCTATTTCAGCGAAACAAAAATGTTGGGTTTACCATTCCCAAGTTTTAAATTAAAATATTGCCATTGAATAAAAAAATATAGTTTCTTGAAGATGTAGAACACCAGAAAGATATTCTATTTAGTTGTTGGCACGGATTCACAGGGCATGAGATGAGCATCAGCAAAGAAACCCTTCCGGAAGGTCCAACTTTTGATTTTCGTTTTCTTTTTGGATTACAATATATACATATTATAAAATCAAACCAGTACATTCACAAAATCAATATATGTACCCCCGGAACTCTGAATTATGACATGTGAGGGCACCATCCTGCTACAAGTTGCTTTAAGTGCCGCCCGTGCCTGAAATAATACAATGTGACATGAAGTATTCCTCCTCCAACAGCAGCGGGAAAGTCGCAGTAAGGCCTTAGGGTGGATGGAGAATAAGATTTTTGCGACGGACGCGCCCTCAGGCGCGTTCAGAGCTAAGTCATCTACACATGGGATTTCGTTGGCTACACTCGCGCAATGTGTCCTAAACCGATTAACAGCCCAAGAAATAGTACATGAATTTGAACCTTCAAAACTCCCATACTTTGTCTGGATATCTTAAAGACTTTTATATTTAGCCTTTTCAATTTCAAATTAAGTTATCCAAGTTAAAACATGAACGTATATTATTGATAAAAACGTTGTAGTCCCGTAGTATTATTGCGCAATATGCAAATTACTGCTGAAACGATTTACCGCTGTCGAAAAAGTAGGACAGCAAATTATACTACAATAAAGGTGTAACCTCTGAGTTTCAAGACATTATTAGTAGGAAATAAATATTTCTACATTATACAAA